TCGCCGGCCATTCGTGGCTATAGCCGGCGGTTGAACGTTCCATCGCCGGCCATTCGTGGCTATAGCCGGCGATTGAGCCTTCTATCGCCGGCCATTCGTGGCGATAGAGCTTTTTATCGCCGGCCATAAGGGCGATAAGAAAATCCTATCGCCAGCTATAAAAGCTATAGAAAATCCTACAGCCGGCCATAAGATTTCTCCATCGCCTTTATGGCTTATTTTTACCAGGGATTTTAAAATACCGAAATTCCATAGGCCCTTATTATGACCGCTATTTTGAATTTTCGTCATTTTGGGGGGTGTTCCGGGGTCGGACCGTGGTAAACTTTTTGTATGTTGTTCAAGAGGACCTACTGATGGAGGGGGAAGGGGGCGTACGGACTTTTAGGACACACCGTAGAGCTTGAAAAACAAGGGTTCGCAAAATACCACGGCGAAGTACAAATGCAGTCAATGAGGTAATTTTGCTGAATAAATAAACAGAATTTCTTACAATCAAGAGTCTGTGTCGTTCTTCGTCCGTTACGAAATGTGTCGCCGATCCGTCTATAATGTTCGTCTCCGTTTTAAGGTCCCTCTGATCCCTTACATCATTTCTAATTTTCCGTATGTAGGCTGGGCTCTCACCAAAATTCTGGAACAAAATTGTGACGCAATAAAAGGAGTGAATGAAATCTAAGAAGGTTTTACTTCCTCGTTCTAGCTTTGCACTGTTTGCATAAACTTTAAGCGTGCAAGGCCAAAAAATGTAAGGTTCTAATGATCCTGCCAAACCTTTCGCTCCTTATAGAAGAGTTACAATTGATGAGAATTTGCGCTAACTCCAGTCACCAGGTCGTACATAAAATATGAATTAAATTCAGGGTTACGAGAGCGAGGTGGTGCTGTAAATGCCACAGAGATGCGTGAAGTGAATGGAACAAAGGGGTGGACGGTGTTGCAAGATCGTAATTGGAAATGTGAGTTTGAAGAAACTTATACTTTACGCGATACGCAGAGAAAGTTCGAGACCCGATTTGGCGTTAGAAAAGAAAAAGATAATATTTATTGAGAGGTACATAAATGTAGGCAGATTGACCTGATGGACGGCCGTCACGTCCACCTCACAAATGCCGCAATCACACGCTGAATTTGGCAGCTGAATGTGGCAGTCAACATTCAGCGCTCAACAGCTGAAATTTCACTAATTCGAGTTACTGTCATCCAAATGTGTATCAAATCTATTCGAATAGTTCAGACAAATCCGACATTATCCGATGGCCACCCCTGGTAAAAATGGCAAGTGCTCAGATCAGTAGCACTTGCCTTTGGAACAGACCTAAACACTGATGTCAGTGCTGCCGGGCGCTGATCTGCTACGTCAGTGTTAGGTCTGTTCCAAAGGCAAGTGCCTCTGATGTAAGTGGCACTGACCTAAGTGTCTCCGACGTAAGCGGAGTGGAAACTCCCAGAAATACTGTAGAGGCAAAATTTTAGTTAATTACCGATCCGCCAGGTACGTAGATTCACTATTTGACGACGAGGGAGGGTTGCTGTGAGTTTTCTATCACAAGTAATCATCACAATCTTCAGTGGCAACGCTCGTTCCCATGCGGTCTCCAATCGAAGTACCAACTACGCACGACGTAGCTTAACTTCGGTGATCGACCTAGCGACTTTCCGCATTTTAATGCAATGTTTCATTGTAACAGACCCATCCCCCCCCCCCCCCCCCCCCCCCNGGGGGAGGGGGCTGTGGTGGCCCGGGGGCAATATGAAGACTTCGGTATCAGACTTGGAGTATTCGAGGACTCTTTCAAAAGAGAAACGGTACGTCCAAGAGCCGCCGAAGCCACTCTAAAAAATGAAGGTACGGACCCCCTAAATAACCTTTGGACCCCCCTAACTTTTGACAGGGGGGTCAGATCGACTTCCGGTTTGCGCCAAAAATTTTCTTTTTTCATGCTCTTTCTAACGATGTATCACATGATGGGGGTTGCCATTTGAAATTTTTGAGTTGCCCCCCGCCCCCCCTCCCCGTGAGGTGGTGAAGAACTGAAAAGTACCTCAAAAAGTTTCCCCCTCGATATGAGGAAAGACGCCACAAACCGCAAATCGATATCATAATTAGAACTAAAGTTATGGCCAGTGGTGCGTAACTTTTGAATAACCCTGTATAAACAAAGTATAACCGTTATATAAAGAGCGTATTTATATAAAGAATGTATAATCAAAATATAACGGTTATAAAAAATAAACATAAAGAGCGTATTTATATAAAATATGTATAACTGAAGTATAACGGTTGTCTAAAACATGTTTACAAATAACTTTTATAAAAACTAATTATAAAGGTTATTCGCGCAATTTATAAAATTATTTGATTAATAACGGTTATACGACGGCAGTTGCCTTTGAACATCCCGTTATTTAACCGTTATATAACCGTTATATGAGTGGTATATCTACTTTCGTTAAAATTTTTTTATATAAATCTGCTACTAGGGAAACTTTAAGTTCCACCTCCGGATATTGTCCAACGGATGTCGCTCGTGCTGAATGGCCGGGGTAAGGCTTTGACAGGAAAGTAACATCTGGTACACTTGGAGCTGGCTGCGAAGCTCGGCAATCTCTCGGCGAAGCGCAGATGTGAAATGCTCTTGAAGCCGCTCCTCAACGGCCTTGGCTCCCGGTCCCAGTTCAGGCGCCATTTTGTAACTAGGCTCCTCGCGACCGGAAGCTCAGCTGGAGGCAGCCTTGGGTCGTGGGAATCGAGGGGTAGGGAGACGCAAGCAAAAAAATCGGAAATGACGTGAACACAGCTATTCAAATAGGAAAACTACAGGCAGACAGACATGCATAAGCAAAACTACAGAGGCATACAGACATGAGCAAAACTACAGAGGCATACAGGCATAGACGAAACTAAGACAGTTTATGGGGGCTAACTGACAGGAGACAAAAGCATACAACCAAACAAAAATACGGCTGGGGCTACAGTCTTTAGATCAGGGCTGGGGTAGGGGAGTTCAAACGAATTCTTGCACTTCGAACACTATCGGCATCGTCTTAAACCGATACATGGTGGCGCTACCGACAGAGGCGATGATATCGTTGACAGCCGGCCTTATCGGAGTTCTGAGAGCTCGCACTCGATGCATTATTACCCCGTGTGTCGGTTTGTCAGATTGCCTGGCGCGGCGGCGCGTAAAATAGATGTACATTGTACAAATGGCAACAGCTTATCTCTGTCAGTTCCGAAAAATCAGATTGCTATCGGTAAGAACGCTCATATCGTAACTTTTCCTTAACGGAATTATTTCGGTGTCTTACCGACAACCGATAGAACAGACATAGGCTGGGGCACAGAAGAGGGAGTGCCGAACACGTGGATCAGCGGCGGCGCGGCGCAGTCGAGCCGGCTAGCTGAGGCAGCAATGGCCAGTGCGGCGCGGCAGCTGGACACGGTGGTCGGTGTGCCAAAGGCTCCGTCGTGGTCGGCTGCACGGCGTCCCATGGGCTTGGCCGTAGGTGGCAGCAACTGATGATGAGGCTGCTCGAAGCCGAAGGCACGGACAGCGTGACGCGTTCGGCATGACACCATAGAGTCGCAATGTATTAGAGCGTCGACGAAGCCACTGTGGCGGCCAATCACCGCCTCTCCAGTGCGGCGCATCCCGCGCTCGCCCGTGATTGGCCGACACGACCACACCCCGAGGGTATAAGAGCAGCGCCCCCAGGCTACTACGGCACTCGTGCTCAGTCCTCAAGTCAGTCAAGTCCAGTCGCACCAGCCACGCTGCTCCAGTCTTCGCTCGCTCCAGACGCCATCCATCCTGTCTCTCATCACCATCTAAAACGGCCCTTTTCAGGGCCACCACATCACTTGAGCACCCACAGTGGTGACTCCCGACGTTTGAACTACGCTCCGACTGCGCTAACGATCAATTCAAGTCAACCTTTCTACTCATCCCGTCACACCTTTTGGAGTCAATCATGAGCATCCCAACTTTGAGCGATGAAGATATGCAAGACCCAGCAAAGGTAAAACAATACCTGGCTAATGCTGAAGCTCTACAAGTTCAGTCCTCCTCTCGCTGTAAATTAGGTACTCGAGGAAAATTTAACTCTCCTCCACCAAGAATTTGAATTCATCAGGGACGCTAAACGCAAACTGGAAGATCAACAAAATCTCTCCAACTCAGCCAACAAACAAATCATGAAGCGAAAAATTAAATTGCCTTCATTCCGCCCCGAAATGCCGGACCTATGGTTTATTCAAATCGAAGCCATATTCGCCGATTTCGACATAAGCGCTGAAATTGATAAATATCGTACCGTTATTAGTCAAAGCGAAAGGTCATGGCTGGTCGAGATAAATGATTTAATCCGAGCTGGACCTAGTGTAAACATTCCTTACACCACTCTATAGAAGGAAATAATCAATCGCTTCTCACTAAGCGAAAATTCACGCCTCAAGAAACTACTCAAAGAGGAGGAAATTGGCGATCTGAAACCATCCCAATTCTTACGAAGACTTAAAACTGTTGCAGGCAGCACACCAATTGCTGACACATTATGAAACCACTATAAGTAGGCTACCCGCCTACGTGCAAGGCATTTTGCAAGCCCAACCCAGCAACAACACGCTGACTGAGATAGCTGATGTGGCAGACCGAATCGCGGAAACCATTCCTCATTCCGTTCATTCCACTTCCGCCACAAGTCAAACCAGTCCACCTCCTTTAGTTCACCAAATCACCAACCCTGCTGACCCCTTTACCGACATTAAAGAAATGATAACAGCCCTCAGCCATAAATTTGACCTCCTAGACGTTAAAGTCAAGAACCTGGAGAGGAATATCGACAGAAGTAGGAGCCGTTCCCGCTCCAAATCTCGCTCACGCTGTAGTTCACCCAAGCCGTTCAAATCCGAGAAAGGATATTGTTTCTATCACGAGAATTTCGGGAAAGAGGCTCGCAAGTGCCAACAACCATGCAAATACCCAAGCTCAACAAACGACAACGGCAGCCAATAGTGGCGGCTGCTGGCTACCCCACAAGGTCCAACCGCCTCTTCATCAAACATAAAGACAGCAACAACAGCTTCCTAATGGACACAGGGTCTGACTTATGCTGTTTTCCTAGACGTCTATTACCAGGCCATTTAAAATCAACAAACTATGAATTAAAAGCAGCCAACGATTCCTTTATCAAAACCTATGAGTTCCTGCCCATGAAATTAAACCTCGGCCTACGACGCGCTTTTATCTGGCGGTTCATCATCGCCGACGTCGACGTTCCCATCATTGGCGCGGACTTTCTAGCCGAATACCATCTACTCCCGGATTGCCACAAGATGAAGCTCGTGGACGGGGTCACTTCACTCTCAGCCCAAGGAAGTCAAGCAACAAGCAACCAACCTAGCGTCAAAGAAATTTCGGCCACTAACTGCAGCATCCTAGCAGAATTCCCAGAATTGACCCGCCCGCCAGGCAGCCCAAAACCAGACAAGGTTCCTCACGCAACACGGCACTTCATCCGCACAGCAGAGGGACCCCCAGTCTCATTCCGCCCTCGCCGCCTCCGACCCAAGCTATACCGAATCGCTAAAGCTGAGTTCGAGGCAATGCTCAACGAAGAGACCATCAAAAGATCCGAAAGCGTCTGGTCTTCACCTCTTCACATGGCACCCAAGAAAGATGACGAATGGCGCCCTTGCGGCGACTATCGGGCACTCAACGCTCGCACCATACCCGATAAGTACCCCATTCGCCATCTCCACGACTTTACAGTCAACCTCAAAGGCTGTGAGGTCTTCTCAAAAATAGACCTGGTCAAAGCATACACCCAGATCCCCGTCAACCCAGCAGATATACCAAAAACAGCCATCACCACCCCTTTTGGACTATTCGAATTCTTATACATGAGTCTCGGACTGCGTAACGCAGGACAAACTTTTCAACGCTTCATCGACGAAGTCCTACAAGGCTTAGATTTCTGCTTCCCGTATCTAGATGACATCCTGGTCGCCTCAAAAGACAAAAAGGAACACAAGAAACACCTACACCTAATTTTCCAGCGATTAGCGAAATACGGCATCATCATCAACATCAAGAAAAGCATCTTTTTTGCCGATTCCCTTGAGTTCCTCGGTTACGAAGTATCCGCCCAAGGCATCAGACCACTCCCAGACCGCATTAAGGCACTGATGGAATATCCACCTCCAGCAGATGCACACGGTCTACGAAGATTCCTGGGCATGATGAACTTTTACCGTCTTTTCCTGCCAGATGCTGCCTACTATCAAGCACCCCTACACGAAGCAGTCATTGACATAAAAGGGAATCAACCGATTCACTGGACACCTTCCCTTCTGGACGCCTTTAAAGCCAGCAAACAGAGCCTCGGAGATGCCACACTCCTCGCGCACCCAAGCGCCGACGCACCCCTAAGTATAGGCCTCTTCTCAGACGCTTCGAAAGCATCGATTGGAGCCTGTCTACAGCAACTCGTCGACAACAAGTGGCAACCTCTCGGCTTCTTCTCGAAAAAGCTCAATCCACGGCAACAGGAATGGCCCACGCCGCACAGAGAACTCCTGGGCGTGTACGAAGCAATCCGCCATTTCAGACCGGCAGTTGAAGGTCAGGACTTCACGATCTACACAGATCATAAGCCACTAACCTACGTCTTCGACAAGAAACATGGAAACCTGCCGCCCGTCCAAATGAACCAACTTTCATTCATATCCCAGTTCACAACGGACATTCAGTACATACCAGGTTCCGCCAACGTCGTCGCTGACGCATTCTCTAGAATCGAAGCGATCACTTCCACAAACCAGATCGACTTCAACACACTTGCCGCAGCACAGAAAGACGACCCAGAGCTACCAGAACTCTTGAAGGACGACAAACTTGCAATCAAACTCACGCTCATTCCCGTCCCAGGAACTGACATCAAAATCTACTGCGACTCTACAACGCAGTAAAGACCTTTTGTCCCATTCCCACTCAGACAAAGGATCTTCAAACAACTTCACAACCTGAGCCACCCCGGCACCAGAGCAACACAGAAACACATCTCCGATCGCTACGTCTGGCCAAAAATGCATATTGACTGCCGGAGATGGACCCAAGCCTGCCGCCAAGAGTGTCAACGAGCTAAAGTCTCCCGGCACGTACACTCACCTCTAGGCACCATCAACACTCCATCCAACCGATTCCAGCACATCCACATCGACTTGATCGGACCTCTTCCCCTGGCGCAAAATTACAAGTATTGCCTCACAGTCATCGATCGCTACACCCGCTGGCCAGAAGCACAACCTCTAGAAGGTATCACAGCTGAAGAAGTCGCAACAGCCCTCCTAAACTGCTGGATTTCAAGATTCGGTTCACCTTCCCAGCTTACCAGTGATCAAGGTCGACAATTTGAATCTCATCTCTTCCGAGCCTTGGAGAAACAGCTAGGAATCAACCACATCCGGTCAACTCCATACCACCCCGCAGCAAACGGAATGGTTGAACGGATGCACAGACACCTCAAGAGCGCCATCATGTGCCACCCAAACTCCACATGGCTTGAAGCTCTCCCACTAGTACTTCTAGGCATGAGATCTGTCTTTAGAGAAGACGCCCAAGCAACACCCGCAGAGCTGACTTACGGCGAACCTCTACGCCTTCCAGGGGAACTACTGGTCGCAAACCCAACTCAAGACAACCCCGCAGAATACGTCAGCAAACTGCGCACCCAAATGGCAAATCTTCGGCCCAAACCCGCTTCTCGCCATGGCACAGAAAACACGTTCATATTCAAGGACCTGAAGACATGCTCCCACGCCTTCCTCAGAGACGACACAAGCCGTAAGTCGCTGCAGCCCCCCTACACTGGGCCATACAAAATCATAGAGCTTGCCGACAAATTATACAAACTTCTGATAAAAGGCAGGCAAGTCAACATCAGCATCGACCGCCTTAAACCGGCCTACATCCTACCCGAAGAACCAGCCTCTGTACAGCTCGCACATCTCAAAACCACTCCGGCCCCAGCTGCGGTCCCGCCCCCAACACCCAACGAAGCGGAGACCAAAGCCCCGGAATACAGGACTCGATCAGGGAGGAAAGTGCACTTCCGCTTTCCGGACTTGGTCAAACAATAAAGAAAGCTCCAACCAAATCAATCAAGCAGCTTTCCCGCGGAAAATAGCACCCCAGCCTCACCTATAAAAAGGACCTCAATCTGACCGCAGCATTCAGTCCTCCACCCACAAGCCATGGCGACAGTCGACAAGCTATTCCTTCTGACAGCCCGCTTCATTCAACACAGATATTTACATGAAGAACCATCAACTTTTTCCTGGCGGCGGCCACATAATAACTTTTTGGACCAAGAAACACATCATAAAACCGGCCAACAAACCACATCCGGCAGAAAGAAACACACGAAACCAGGCAGCAGATGGGCTCTAACCACCAACAACTATGCAGCACAATATGGTATGGCTTGCGCCAAGCAGAAAATAGCAATCTTCAAGTCCAAACCAAGAACGCAAGTTCAACGATCACAAGGCCTACACTACACCGCAGGCACTCAAATCCATTCCCCCAAACCCCGCATCTTCACCATCCCTAAAGCCCAACACCACTTAGTTCCTCCGGAAATATTTTCATTTGCCCCACCCATCTATCAGCATAACTTCAATCCTACCCCTCACCCCAAAATTTGTCAACTATGTCTCACCTACTCTTCTCTATGTACTTGTAAATTAAAATCGTGCCTACCATGTACTCATCTTTCGTGCCCCTCCCAGGATATCCCTGAAGACTACACCGTTGCCGGACTATCAAAACAGAACAACACTTTGGAGAAGAAAAGCCGATTCCTCTAAGAAGCCAGCAAGACATGCCCAGAGCTCATACCTAAATTCACCAAGTTCTTAGAGACTCCGTCTCAGCCGTCGGGGAGTACTGTGGCGGCCAATCACCGCCTCTCCAGTGCGGGGCATCCCGCGCTCGCCCGTGATTGGCCGACACGACCACACCCCGAGGGTATAAGAGCAGCGCCCCCAGGCTACTACGGCACTCGTGCTCAGTCCTCAAGTCAGTCAAGTCCAGTCGCACCAGCCACGCTGCTCCAGTCTTCGCTCGCTCCAGACGCCATCCATTTTGTCTCTCATCACCATCTAAAACGGCCCTTTTCAGGGCCACCACATCACTTGAGCACCCACACCACTTTTGGATAGGCTGTTTTGTCCATTGCTCCGGAGACTATAGTCTGTGCAAACCAATTAGACAGAGTAAAAATTCGGGCTTTCTCAGGCGAGCCGAGAATTGCAACGTCGGATCCCGGCGAGGAGCCGCTGGGTCAGCGCCGAGCTCACTTTGGTATTGTTCCCATTGTATCCACCCCGGGCCTTTACCTGGCGGCCGGACCCTGATCATTAAGGCCCTCTGGCCACTGAGGGACCTAAAATTGCACACCAATTTTTTTTATCATTTGTGAATTTTTCCTTCATTTCATCGGATTCGGATGCATCTTGCAATCCTGATGAAAAATATATATAATTATAGGTAAATATATGGTAAGTTATTGTATTACAGAACTCGCGAATTCCTTCAGCGCTTCCCAAAAACTCCAAAAAAGTTCTGTAATACAATAACTTACCATTATACTTACCTACAATTGTACATATTTTTCATCAGGATTGCAAGATGCATCCGAATCCGTTGAAATGAAGGAAAAATTCGCAAAAGATAAAAAAAAATTGGTGTGCAATTTTTGGTCCCCCAGTGGCCAGAGGGCCTTAATGATCAGGGTCCGGCCGCCAGGTAAAGGCCCGGGGTGGACACAATGGGAACAATACCCCGGTGAGCTCGGCGCTGACCTAGCGGATCCTCGCCGGGATCCGACGTTGCAATTCTCGGCTCCCCTGAGAATGCCCGAATTTTTACTTTGTCTAATTGAATTGCACAGACTATAGTGTGCGGCGACTAGCGATGACGCATGCGCAGAGACTCGCGCTCAACGCTCCCCA